ATGCCGATCACCACTTTGGGGCCAGGAAGCAATTTTTCTCCAGGCCAGTTTGGCTGGAGATCTTAGAAGTTTTTTGTCGTCTTCTGGGCATGGAACAAGGGTCACTGGGGATGTGGAGGGGGAGGTATTTGTGAATTTCCTGCATTGTGCAGGGGGTTGGACTAGATGACCCTGGAGGTCCCTTCCAACTCTTATGATTCTATGAATCACTGCTCATTTCTTCAGATACCCTTCCATGGAGATAGATCAAGGTGGGAAGCTGTGAATAGTCTGTCTGTAGCAGCAGAAAAGAGCAAGAGTCCAGGAGCACCTTAAAGACTTACAAAATATGTGGCAGGGTAGGCGCGTTCATGAGTCACCGCTCACTCCTTCAGAACTGAGCAGTGACTCACGAAAGCTCACACCCTGCTACAAATCGTCTTATTCTTCAAGGTGCTACAGAGACAGACATGTGCCTAAAAGGAAGCGTTCGTTCGCCGGGGGAATTTTAAGCTCAGTATTGAATTTCGAAACCTGAACGTTTCCGCTTTCGAAATATTGAAATATAATGCTCAGGTTTTGGAGGGACGCTTTTCTCTCAGCTCTGCGTTTGATTCCTGACAGGATAAAATGGCCGCTGAGTGGAAGGAGGCCCCCTCTCCGGCTCTCTCATTGCAACCTGGCGGGTTGCAGCGTTGGGTGAAGCAGGAACTGGACGAGGGAATGCGCCATCTCTGGAGGTCGCAGGAGTGCCAGGAGGAGGGAGGACTGCTCCTTAGAGCCAGGCACGGAGGTCGAGGAGCATCACTGTGGAATGAGAGTGAGGCTCCTTCTGAGGGCTCTGTTGCCACCGCCAGCCAGTGGCTCGGAAGGCGCGAGGCCGTGGGATACTTGCAAGACTGGAAAGGAGATACCCGGCAGATGAAGGGGGAGGCCAGTAGAAGCCCGGAGTGCAGAGACGGAGGTGAACATAAGCCGGTGAAGGAGGAGTTCTGTCGGCGTTTCCGGGGCTTCCGCTACCATGAAGCCGAGGGGCCGCGAGCAGTTTGTCACCGACTCCGGGAACTCTGCCGGCAGTGGCTGCGGCCGGAGAGGAACACCCCGGAGCAGATCTGGGAGCTGCTGATCTTGGAGCAGCTCTTGGCCATCCTGCCGTTGGACATGCAGACCTGGATCCGAGAATGTGTCCCGGAGACCAGCTGCCAGGCGGTTGCCCTGGCCGAGGATTTCCTGCGGAGGCAGCGAGGGGCCGAGAGTTGCATGAAGCCGAGGGGCCGCGAGCAGTTTGTTACCGACTCCGGGAACTCTGCCGGCAGTGGCTGCGGCCGGAGAGGAACACCCCGGAGCAGATCTTGGAGCTGCTGATCTTGGAGCAGCTCTTGGCCATCCTGCCGTTGGAAATGCAGACCTGGATCAGAGAATGTGTCCCGGAGACCAGCTGCCAGGCGGTTGCCCTGGCCGAGGATTTCCTGCGGAGACAGCGCGTGGCCGAGAGTTGGGAGAAACAGGTGAGGGCAGCACTTGTTCCATGCAGCTGGTTTAACGTCTCTGATTTGGGCAGAGACTGTACACCAGTCTGTGGTTTCTCCCTAGGATTTCTGAGAGATGAGGCTTGGGGAGGAGGCTGAGAATCCTACACGCGTGGGAAGCTGACTTACACCAAGTCGAACTTTTGGTCCCCGTAGCTTGGAAGCCAAGCCACAGGTCCTCAACATGGTGCCCATGGGTGCCATAGTACCTGCCAACACCGTACCGGGTGCCTTCCAAGTATTTTCAGAAAATGGGGGTGGGGGACAACTTTTGATTGGCCACCAGAGATACAGTTGTGCAGATTCAAGTAACATTGATTTGGTAGCTGCTGCCACTGCACTGTTGGTTTTATTTTCAAAATTACCTCTCTTCTCCCCTGCTGGGAGTGCAGACGCTAATCTGGGAGAACCGGGTTTGATTCCCGACTCCTCCACATGCAGCTTGGGAATGCCCCATCTCTGGTGTGACCTTGGGTCAGTCACAAGTTCTTTCAGAGCTGTTCTCTCAAGGGCAGTTCTCTCAGCGCTCTCTCAGGCGCAGCTACCTCACAGGGTGTCTTTTGTGGGGAGGGGAAGGGAAAGGAGATTGCAAACCACTCTGAGACTCCTTCGGATAGTGAAGAGTGGGGTAAAAATCCGATCTCTTCTTCTTCTTCTGTACTTCTGTGTGTGTGTGTGTGTGGCTGTGCCTCGCACTGCAGCCACTGTGGTTTGCTGCCCCTCCCATGGCAGCCATTACACCACCCTGTCCCAGAATTCCAAAGGTGTCCACAAGCTCAAAAAAGGTGGGGATACCTGGAGAGCCAGTTTGCTGTAGTGGTTAGGAGCAGGGGACTCTAATCTGGGAGAACCGGGTTTGATTCCCCACTCCTCCACATGGACCTGCTGATGTGACCTTGGGTCAGTCACAAGCTCTGGCACAGCTGTCCTTGAAAAAGAGCAGTTTGTGTCAGAGTTCTCTCAGCCCCACCCACCTCACAGGGTGTCTGTTGTGGGGAGGGGAAGGGAAAGGAGTTTGTAAGCCGCCCTGAGACTCCAAGTGAAGGGCGGGGTATAAATCTCTTCTTCTTTTTCTTCTTCTAAACCAAATGAGACACAAGGATTTTGTAAAGTTCTTAAGTACTCTATTTATTTTTTCCCCTTTCCATTTTCTTGGCTTGAGGGGGCCCTGTGGCATCACTGTTTGCCCTGCTGTGCGGGGTTGATAGCCAGCGCCGTATTTTCCAGGGCCTCGGGACTGAAAGCGGGTTCTGAGCTTGGGTTCAGCCTCTGAGCACTGTCAGCTGCTCGGTAGGGAAGCCAAGAATTGAATTTCAAAACTCCTCAGGCCTCCTTATCGCCTGATGCCTCTCACTTTTGCTCTGAGCGGGATACTCCTGGCTGTTTTCAGGCACAGACCCAGCGGAACTCCCCAAGACTCCCTGGAGTAGAGCAGGCTTTGTTGGATATCAAGGAGGAACAGCCCGGCAAGGAGTCCCGGCAGGAAGGGGATGGAGATGCCAACTCTGTGGGTGAGGGATCTTTTTTTGTTCCTCGTACCGTCGTATGCCTGGATGGCCCAGGCTGGCCTGATCTCCTCAGATCACGGAAGCTAAGCTGGGTCGGCCCTGGTAAATAAGTGCACGGCAGGCCACTAAGGAAGTCCAGGGTTTGCTACGCAGAGGCAGGCAATGGCAAACCACCTCAGATCTCGGAAACTATGTAAGGCCAGCCCTGGTTAATGTGTACATGACAGACCACTAAGGAAGTCCAGGGTTGCTACGCAGAGGCAGGCAATGGCAAACTACCTCTGATTTCGGAAACGATGTAAGGCCAGCCCTGGTTAATATGTACATGACAGACCACTAAGGAAGTCCAGGGTTGCTTTGCAGAGGAAGACAATGGCCAACCATCCCAGATCTCAGAAGCTAAAGCCCTGGTTAGTCCTTGGATGGGAGACCACTAAGGAAGTCCAGGGCTGCTATGCAGATACAAGCAATGGCCAACCACCTCAGATCTCAGAAGCTAAAGCCCTGGTTAGTCCTTGGATGGGAGACCACTAAGGAAGTCCAGGGTTACCATGCAGAGGCAAGCAATGGGCAGCCACCTCAGATCTCGGAAGATAAGCAAGGTCAGCCCTGGTTAATATATTCATGGCCAACCACTAAGGAAGTCCAGGGTTACCATGCAGAGGCAAGCAATGGGCAGCCACCTCAGATCTCGGAAGATAAGCAAGGTCAACCCTGGTTAATATGTGCATGGCAGACCACTAAGGAAGTCCTGCCTATGCAGAAGCAGGCAATGGCAAACCACCTCTGTTTGCCTCTTGCCTGGAAAACCCCACGATCCTGGGGTTGCCTTGAGTAGATTGCCATTTATTATTGTATTACGGCAAGCAGAATTTAAGACCCAATAATGACCACCAGCCAACCTCACACCGCGATTTGTGGAGTGACATACACTAAGGAAGTCCAGGGTTACCATGCAGAGGCAAGCAATGGGCAGCCACCTCAGATCTCGGAAGATAAGCAAGGTCAACCCTGGTTAATATGTGCATGGCAGACCACTAAGGAAGTCCTGCCTATGCAGAGGCAGGCAATGGCAAACCACCTCTGTTTGTCTCTTGCCTGGAGAACCCCATGATCCTGGGGTTGCCTTGAGTAGATTGCCATTTATTATTGTATTATGGCAAGCAGAACCAGAATTCAAGACCTAATAATGACTACCAGCGAACCTCACACCGCAATTTGCGGAGTGACATGTTTCAGACACGCTATCTTAACCACAGTTAGCTGAATTAAACCGTGGTTTTCTGCAACATGTGCATGGAGCCACAAAATCCACACATGTCTCGGTTTATTTTCACAGAGGATAGACTGGCCTGGGAGACCATTGAGGAGGAGAAGCCAAACCTCAAAGTGTCAGAAGAACGGGGACCATCTAGGGTCGTCACGGAAAGACTTCCTTGGTGTCCGGTGAATGGAGAGATGTCTGGAAACAGGTACATGGCAGGAATTGAACCAAGAAATGCTCCAGAAAAACAAGACAGTAACTTTGTTCCTTGTTGGGGAGCTGTCAAGGAGTTTGGTGACACCGATGAGGGGAGAATCCTCAAGAGTGAGCCTCAAAATTCGTATCTGGTGGGCAAGAAGAGCAACCATTGGACGCTGGATCCCGGTGCACATGAGAGAATCCAGGCAGGCGAAAAGCCACATGAATGTTTGGACTGTGGGAAGATCTTCAGTCTGAGGTCCATGCTTGTGGCGCATGAAAGGAGACACATGGGGCAGAAGCCGTACCCCTGTTCACACTATGGGAAGAGTTTTGGCATGAGCTCAGACCGCCACAGGCACTCTCGAATCCACATGGGGGAGAAGCCATACAAGTGCTCAGAGTGCGGGAAGTCCTTCCGGCAGAGCTCTTCCTTCGCCTGCCACTTAAGGACTCACGTTTGTGAGAACCTTTTTAAATGTTCGCCGTGTGGGAAAAGTTTTGGCAGCAGGGCTGAGCTGCTCAGGCATGAGAGGTCCCACATGAGCAAGGAGCTCCACAAATGCTCCGATTGCGGGAGAAGCTTTGGCCACAGTTCACAGCTCCTGGCCCACAAGAGAATCCACACAGGGGAGAAACCATACAAATGCCTCGAGTGCGGGAAGATCTTCAGCATCAGCTCGCTCCTTAGGGGGCATCAGAGGAAACATTCCGGCGAGAAGCCATATAAATGCTTGGAATGCGGGAAAACATTTAGTGGGAAATCCCACCTTAGTAGACATTGGAGAATCCACACCGGGGAAAAGCCTTTCAAGTGCTTGGTTTGTGGGAAAAGCTTCTGTATGAGTTCGGACCTTATTGCTCATGAGAGAATCCACACTGGACACAAACCCTACGAGTGTCTGGACTGTGGGAAAACCTTTAGTCAGAAGCAGCACTTGACTAGCCACCAGAGGACCCACACGGGAGAGAAGCCATATGTCTGTTCGCACTGTGGCAAAGGCTTCAGTGTGAGCTCCAACCTCAACACCCACGAGCGAATCCACACAGGAGTGAGGCCTTTTAAATGTTCCAACTGTGGGAAAACGTTCAGTCAGAAGTCGCACCTCATTGGCCACCAGAGAATCCACACTGGGGAAAAGCCCTATGTGTGCAGGGACTGTGGGAAAAGTTTTGGTTCCAGCTCCAACCTTATGGTCCATGTGAGAACCCATTGTGGAGAGAAAACATAAGAGTGTTTGGAAATGGTGGTTTGTTTTTTTGCTTTTGGTGGGTGTGGAAGGGAATATTTTCAGATTCACTGCTTTCAAACCTACATGCAGAAATTTGAACTTCCATCCTCATAAGTAGAATTGGTTTTAACTTTCCCCTGCCAATGTTCCTAATGGATTTAGGCATTTCAGAAGGGGAAGAGCTATGAGGAAAACCAGAAATAAAAAGTATTGTGTTCAATAAACTGATGTGGATGAATTTGAGAAAATAAAGATTGAAGAGTACAGTAATCTTCTTGAATTTTAACTATTCTCCGGAATAGAACTCCAGTTTGATTTTTGTTCCAGTTTGATTCTCCTGTTCCTGGAGAATGGGTTCTTAGTCATGATAACTAATTTTAATTGTTTATTTTTAAAATGGAAGATACTTTGAGTTGTAAACAAATGTTTTGCTTTGACACGCAGAAGTTTCTACTGGAAAGCTGTGTCCAATCTTGTCCTCTGAAGAATTTGCCATTGTGTTTTCTTTCCTACTTTCCGTCGGGCACTGTTAAACTTGGAACTTGACCAAGACACACACAGGACAAAGGAGTCTGGGCCAAAATGCCTTTTTCATGAGACAGTGGCAATGGTTAATCATGTGCTAAGTAATAGCAGTGAAGAGATTTGCATTCTTGGTTTTAGAATCGAGATCTGAGTGGCCGAAGATCCCTTGTCGGGGTTGGCTGCCCCAAGATCACCCAGTGAATTTCAGAGCAAGCCAGCATTTGAATCCAGTGCAGTTTCTTGGCACCCATCAAGTGTTTTTAGATGGTGGGTGGGGCCAGATAGGCCTCTTCCCCAGAATGGCTTCTGATTGGCCCCTGAAAATCCAATTGGCTGGGCAGATTAAAAAAAACATTGTTTTGGCAGCAGCTGCCACCACAGTGATTGTTTTATCTTTGGTGGATTGTTTTATCCAGAGAGCCAGTTTGGTGTAGTGGTTAAGAGCACGGACTCTAATCTGGGAGAACTGGGTTTGATTCAGCACTCTTCCCCATGCAGCTGCTGGTGTGACCTTGGGTCAGACACAAGTTTTTTCCCAGAGCTGTTCTCTCAGGAGCAGTTCTCGAAAGAGCTCTCTCAGCCCCACCTACCTCACAGGGTGACTGTTGTGGGGAGGGGAAGGGCAAGGAGTTTGTAAGCCGCTCTGAGACTTCTTCGGGTAGTGAAGGGCAGGGGTATAAATCCAATCTCCTCTTCTTCTCCTCTAGTCTCTCACTCCATTTTCCCAGTGTTATTTTTTGCATTGCCCCTCTTACTCCCTTGGCACTTGGGTTTCCTCTGTGTGATTGCCTTTGCCTCCTCCTGTGGCAGCCACATCTCGGGGTTCTATATGCCTCCACCACCCTGTGTCAGAATTCCAAAGGTGCTCATAGGCTTGGAAATGTCAGGGACCCCTGCAACACACCGTGAACGAGTACGTTTGGGCTTAGTGAAACTTTTTGTGAGCTAGCAACATGCTTCTGAGGCCCCCAAGTGTAACTGTGAGGGCAGCCCTCCTACGAAATGAAGTGAAATGGTTTTAGAAGAAGAAGAGATTGGATTTATACCCCGCCCTCTAAATCGAAGGAGTCTCAGGGCGGCTTACAATGTCCTTCCCCTCCCCCTTCCCACAACAGACACCCTGTGAGGTAGGTGGGGCTGAGAGAGCTCTGGAGGAACAGCGCTGAGAGAACTTGTGACTGACCCAAGGTCACACCAGCAGCTGCACGTGGGGAAGGGAATCAAACCCGGTTCTCCCAGATTAGAGTCTGCGCTCCTAACCACTACGCCAAACTGGCTTTCTGAAGTACCCTCAAGGGTGTGACTTTGCTTAGGATTGTGCTATGTGTTTTCCAGGCTGGACGAAATAACCCAGAATGTGATTTGGAGCCGGCTGGTTGGGCTACAGTGAATTAATGCGACAGGAGGCCGTGCAGATAAACCTTTTATTTCAGAGTCATAAAACTGCCCATTCCCCACAGGCGATGTCCCAGCATGCTCCGCTAAGAGAAAGCGATCCGCTAGCAGTAAAGCCGCCATTTTGACAATCTACCCGCAGATGCTAAAAAAGAGTGCAAAGGAGAACACTGCAAAATGCGGTTGAGGGAATAAATGATTTTTGACATTGTCCATCGAGTAAAGCATCAAAAGTGTAGATACTAGACTTCAAGTCACCTGATGGAAAATGGTTTCAGAGTATTGCACTGCATCGCAAGAGAGGGTTTTTGCTTGAAGGAAGCAAGAGTTCTTGTTCGATCATCTTTGTGAGAATTGGTAAAGGTAAAGGCTCCCTTGCTCGAAAGCCAGTTGAATCCGACTCTAGGGTTGCGGTGCTCATCTCCGTTTCAATGCCGAAGAGCCAGCGCTGTCCGAAGACGTTTCCGTGGTCATGTGGCCGGCGCGACTAAACACCAAGGCGCACGGAACGCTGTTACCTTCCCACCGAAGTGGTACCTATTTATCTACTTGCAATGTCTTGCTTTCGGACTGCTAGGTTGGCAGGAGCTGGAACTAGAGACGGGAGCTCACTCGTGGTCATGTGGCCGGCGCGACTAAACACCAAGGCGCACGGAACGCTGTTACCTTCCCACCGAAGTGGTACCTATTTATCTACTTGCAATTTCTTGCTTTCGGACTGCTAGGTTGGCAGGAGCTGGAACTAGAGACGGGAGCTCACTCCGTCATGCGGCACCCAGGTCTCGAACTGCTGGACTACTGACCTTCCACAGCCTGCAGTTCAGCGTCTTAACCACTTGAGGCACCGCAACTCCTGTGAGAATTGGACTGTTAAGGAAAAGAGGAGGGGGGCCCT